GTGTAGGCATGTGGCATGTTCTACATGTGTCTGCTTGCCGCTTGCTGGGCCTGACTTCCACGTAATTACGAAACAGCCAGCAGACAAACGTTGCAAGGGGCCAGTGACTGTAGCTGTAGCTGCGACTGAGACTGCGACTGAGACTGCGACTGAGACTGCGACTGAGGCTGAGGCCTGAGACAGCCGCTGCGTCACATGTGGCACTGTGGATAAGAGTTGTAGGTAGCCCAGTAAGGGCCTTGTTCATGTCCAGATCGGGACGACGAGTGTGTTACACATGTAAGCCGTTACAGACAATGCCAAAGTGGCATCAATTGAGTGGAGGAGACCCGACGACTTTTGAAGCATAAGTTAAGTAAACTATTTAATTGGATTCTATATAAATCGATTGTACGATTGAAATGAAAATGCGAAACTCTCATTATACCCTTACACTATATTTAATTCACATTGAAATCTAAACTTAAACAAAGTTGCTATCATTCAAATGATCATTTTAATGCATTTGTTAAAGGCTCGCATAAAGTTTCCCATATAGATTTATGCTTTCTCAGGGGGCATAAAATCTAAAATCGTTTGTCACGTTTTGCACATAAAAGGATTTTCAATTTTCCAATGTGACAAGCGCGCATTTGCATACTGAAGTTGAAATGTGTCGAGTCGAAGTCGCGCTGCGGGGGCAGCCGATGGTCCAGGAGGGGCGCACAGCCAACTGCGAGGCAAATCAAATCAAATTTTATGTAATGCCATGACCGAAAAAAAAAAGAAGTCCTGTAAGGCAGCATTTTGAGATTTTGCGCTTTTTATTATCAATAAAATAAATTAAATCAAATTCGGCAATTTAATTGCCGTCGTAAAAACAAAGAAAAGTCTGAAGAAAAGCGTGACAGACAGAGAGAGAGAGAGAGACAGAGAGAGAAAAAGTGCTGAGGATTTGAATTTGTCTTGTGGCTTCGCGGACACATTATGCGAATATGCCATAAAATGTGGAAAGCCAAATGCGTATGATATACGGAGGGAAAAACGTGTAGAGATTCGATATTGGGCCAATAGCTTTATTTTTTTTTCTTTTAATATTTTCTTTATTTTTTTTTTTTTTTTTTTTTTTTGTCTTGCAACATTAGCTAAGTGCAGCGCATGCATAAAATCGTATTCAAGTTGTCGCGACTCACAGAGCTGACAATCTCATGCTCTTGCTGAGAGTTCAGTGAATGTGTCAGATATTTTGGCAGCGATCTAGACAGAGGCAGTCATTTAAAATAAAATACTTTTTGGTTATAAATGAATTTGTTATTTTATTTACATATTATCATTACATATTATATTATTATCATCATATTTTTATATGTCAAGTGGAGTGAATTTGATCTGTTAGAGCATTTATAGTTCACCTGAAGAAGTTTGCTTCTTGTCTTAACGCTCGAAGCATGCGTTTTTATGGTCATGTTCTTCCCCATGATTTTTGGGAGTAAAGTATCTGCATCTGCATAAGTGGTCTAACGAGCAAATAGGTTTTATGTATGTATGTGTGTGTGGGTGTGTGTTGGTGTGGGTGTGCTTGTTGTGTACTCCTTAACGAGATTTATTTGTAGACAGCAGTTGTTGCCTATGTTTTTATGGCACAACAGCCACAGACAAATTCATCAACCTAACGACAAGGACGACCATCTCTGGGAGCTATTATTACCACCCAAAAATACATTTCATACGCGCCAAAGTTGAGAAAAAATAAAAACAAAAAAATAAAGTAGAAATCGTTGAAAACCCAAGAGAAAAAAATTAAATTGCATTTGTATGTTTCGCTCGCATGTAAGCAGAGACATCTACTGCTCCTGCCTTCTTCGTGCTATCAGATGCATCTATTATGTGTGTGCATCTGCAAGTTTCCCTCTCTCTTTCTCTCTCTCTCTCTCTCTCTGTGTGTGTGAGTGCATGCATTAGTTAAGCTTTACATTTGCACATTAAAAGGCGAATTGTGTTTGAGCGTTTTGTGCATTTCATGCCACGCCCAACTGCAAAAGTTACTAAGCCTTTAAAAGGGATTCAAGTCGAAATATTCTTAAAGCATTACAAAATATATTGCATTAGTTAAATGAGCTAGCACTTTACTGTGCTTCACTTCTAGAGCTTATGTCAGAGCATTTCTGAATTTAAAACAGAAAAATATACATAATTAACTAATTTATTTCAATATAAATAGTATTTTTGGAAATTCAGCTCTTGAACCGTTTGAGTCAAAAACTGAATATAGAGCTTTCACATTTATGTAGCTATCATTTCATTTATTATTATTATTATTACTTTTTATTTAATATATTTTCCTAAAAGTCCCTTTGCTGATCTATGGATATATGATCTATATATTATTAATTTACTAAGCTAATATATAAGAAAACTTAGAGGAATTTTCTATTTATGGTTAACCGAAGAATTTTCCAAGAAATATTCAAGTACAAATTTTTAAAAATAATTTTCTAAAAGGCTTTTTTAAGGGCCGCAGATAAATTTTGTAATATACTTTAATCTAGAAAAAATTACAGCTGTTGAAATGTCGCATCTTTTAAATCTCCTTGCTTTCAGTTAAAAAAAAAAGTGTTTCATTTACGAAAAAAAAAAAAAAAAATGTTACCAAAATTCGTAGCACTAATAATGTATTTGTAGAATAGCTTAACGAAGAGCTGTACCAATAATAGAGCTAAACCGATCAACGTTTGGATTCTGGCCAAATGTGTGTATACCCGATAACGTCGTGTTTGTGTAGGTGTGAGTGTACAAAAAAAGTAATTAAGCAATTCGAATGCTTTTTGACATTTCCAAAAATATGTCAACTCGAAAGGCGAGTGACTCGAGAGTGTGCGAGAAATGATAAAAAAAACCGAAACACAAAAATTGAAAGGCAAAGAAATGGCAAACTGATGCCTCAGGCCCAGTTGAGATATGGCAATTGCTGTTGCTATATTTTGGCAAAAAGCCGAAACACAATCGGAACGTAATGCTAGATCGGGCGGTTAGACACACTCATATATATATATGCGTACGTATATATACTAAAATTATAGCTCTATCGGTTGTTGTTGTTAAGTTTTTGGATGTTATTTTTATAGCTGTGCGCTGTTCGCATTGGCACGACGAGGCAGCAGTTCGACGATCGGCCGATCTTACGTATATACCAAAGCGACGGCTAAGTATAGACAGTGCCTGTGTGTGTAAGTATGTGTGTGTGTGTGTGTGATTGTATGCGCCTGCGTAAGAGGATCAGTGGTGTGGATCATTTGAGGCGGAATGTGGAAGCAAAAAGCCCAACAATAACAGCAACTACAACCAGAACATCAACGAAGACGACAACGTCGAAATCTTTCGGTATATTTTTGGCGTACGATGTTAGCTATATAGCCAGCTATATATCAATAGATATATACGCCTTATATACAAGCCTGCAGCAAGACAAGACGACGAAACAAAGCTATTAATATATATAACTATACATATGTGTAAATATACATATATATATATATATATATGTATATAAATTTATATATATACATATGTACATATGAACGGAATGAGAGTTCTCATCGCTGCGGGCACTCTGGTAAGCGGAGTAGGTGAGCGGGGCGGTGGGTGTTGGTGAGGCAACTCTCGATTCTTTGATTCTTGTGTTCTCGGATCTTTTTGGGGTAGCGTTCGGTCGGCCGTTCGGGCAGCCGGTACAGTTATAGCCGGGCAACGCGTTGGGGGCCGCACAGTCAGCGCCAAGAATTAATTTGAGAATATTTTTTGCATCCTTTAGTGCATTACCGATTCTGTTCTCGAGCTGTGCAGATCGCCTGACTCCGGCCAGGTCTCGCCGCATTGTTTATAATATACAAAATAAAAAAATATTAAAAAATAAAAGCAAAAAATAAACCCTGATCAAGTGCTGACAACCTGTGCTCAAATGACAAAATTATTTTATGAATCATTTAAAAAATATTAATTAATATATTTAAAAAAAAAACAGAAAAACACAAAAAACAAATACTGAAACTGTTTAACGCGAAAGTGAAAGGATTTCCAAAGATGGCAACATTATTCGAAGTCTTTGTAATCTGCTAAAATTCAGTTCAACCATTTGCCGTGCCTCGCTGAGACAGTCTATAGCTATTTATGGAGCATGCTACAAATTGTACTAAAAAACAACAGAAATTGCCAGAGAATTGCGCATGTGTCTGTGTGTACTTGTGTACGTGTGTGTGAGTAATTGGGTGTGAGTGCCTGAGCCTCTGGGCTGAGGTATGCGGCTAACATACTCATCGCTATTTTCGTATACATATATAGCTGATGAAATACGTATAGAAAAGTTTTTACAACATATATTATATACAGATCATGCAAATTATATAAAATTTTGAATCCATCATTTTTTTTCTACTTAACTCTTTGAAAACTATTATTTTTCTATTTTTCTTTTTGGCTAAAAATATATTTTTTGGTTATATAATGAATGAGTACAGTTTGCCAACTATAAAACTATAAAACCTATTTTTATTTAAAATATAAGAAATGTAGGCTCAACTGCAATGATGCTCATATATATTTATACATGAATTCATGTATGCTTAAATTTTTTGTTAATTCGTTAATCACTTAGTTCCTTGTCAACATATTAACATTTACCGTTTTACGTATCCAGCTCGTTAATTAATTTGAATTAAAATATGTGCGCTTTAATAGCATTTAAATAATTAGTTGCATGGCCTTGTCTGCGTATATTTTATTTAGTGGGCTCGCCATTGAACAGACATGTTAATTTAAATGAAAGTGCATAAAATACGGAATACGAAAGTAATGCATTAAAAAGTGCGGGTAGTGCCGAGTGGAATCCTTCAAAACGCTACTGCGTTCATTATTTTGAAGTTAAATTTGTTTAAAAATCCATATAATGTATAAAACCCTTTCTCTTGCATTTCCTGTATGCTAATTTCTACCTTAACTTAATAGAAATAGGAAAAACAGTTCTATTAAAACGTTAGATACATTTTTGGTAAATGTCCAATTTAATTATAAGCCCATTCATCTGGTCTATGCGATCAAATACAGGAATCAAAATGTAAAAGAAAAATGTAAAAATGGTTGTAGACATATGTGAAAACCTAAATTTGTGCTATTGATGTCCACAGCGAAAGCCAAGAAGCTATTGCCTTCTGTTGGGTGCTACCATGTACCATGGGTTTCTTAGCCGAGGGACTTCTCATATGTTTATCTTCCATTTACTTGCTTGCTTCAAATACAGGTCCAGATAAGATACTATCAGAATCAAGCGTTTGTTGCTTCCACAATCGCACGGTCTTTGCTTTTGGCAAAGCTGTCCACAGTGTTATCACAATTGCCATTGGTAAAAATATTGACTGATTGTAGCTGTTATTCGTGGTGGTATTCCTACCATCATCATCATCCTTTTCTTTTGCACGGCCGACCCTCACCGCGGCCTCGGATTCTGTTACAACTGTGGCAACTAGCGCAACTGATTTTAGATTTCCTAGCAACAGGTGCAACTATAATCTCATCTTCCTCATTCTCGCTGGAACACGGTATCTTTCTAGGTACCGGACCAGATACGTCACTCCCCGAATCACAAATTATCGGGGGTCTTGTTTTCATAGCACAACATCCTTTGAATTTATTAGTTACCATTGGACCATCGTAGTCTTCATCATCGGTGGAATAATTTATCTTTCTAGATACTGGTTCGGGTAAGTCACTCCCCGAATCACATGGTTCCACCGACCTCTTTGGAATCTTGCAAGCGGCATCGCATACTGGCAGAGGTATTAAAACGGGCGGTGCTTTAGCGTCTATATTGCCTAGCACCATGGGTTTATTAGCCGTGGGACTTGCTAAATGTCGTTCGCCTTCATCATCCGAGGAAAGATATACTTTCCGCGTTTTCTTCTCTCTAGAGATGTCGCTCCCAGAATCACATGTTGGCAGTGGTACAGGCGCTGCTACTGGCGCAAACCATTTGCAGCAATTTAACTTGCATTTCTTAGGCCTGGTGCTTGTTGCAGCTTCGTAATCTTCATCATCTGTGGAATGATACAATTTTCGAATTTTCTTCGTTCTAGATACGTCACTCCCCGAATCACATGGTTCCACTGACCTCTTAGGAATCTTGCAAGTTGCATCGCATACCGGCAGAGGTATTAAAACTGGCGGTGCCTTAGCATCTATATTGCCTAACACCATGGGCTTATTAGCAGAGGGGCTTGTTAGATGTCTTCCGCCTTCATCATCCGATGAAATATATGCTTTCCGCGTTTTCTTCTCTCTAGAGAGGTCACTGCCCGAATCACATGTTGGCAGTGGTACAGGCGCTGCTACTGGCGCAAACCATTTGCAACAACTAAACTTGGGTTTCTTAATTCTGATACCTTCCACGTCTTCATCATCGGTGGAGTGATACACCTTTCGCGTTTTTTTCTCCCTAGATACGTCACTCCCCGAATCACATGGCTCCACTGACCTCTTTGGAATCTTGCAAGTTTCATCGCATACCGGCAGAGGTATTAAAACTGGCGGTGCCTTAGCATCTATATTGCCTAACACCATGGGCTTATTAGCAGAGGGGCTTGTTAGATGTCTTCCGCCTTCATCATCCGATGAAATATATGCTTTCCGCGTTTTCTTCTCTCTGGAGAGGTCACTGCCCGAATCACATGTTGGCAGTGGTACAGGCGCTGCTACTGGCGCAAACCATTTGCAGCATTGTCCTTTGGGTTTCTTGACCCTGGGTTCCATAGTACCTTTGACTACTTCAGCAGGGAATGGAGAAGGTGGAGGCAATTTTGGGGCTCTCATCTCCGACTCAGGTGCTTGCACCGACCTTTTTCGGGTCTTGCATGTTGGTACACATATCGGTAGAGGTATGCAAAGTGGCGGCGGCTTTGCGTCTCTATCCCCCAGCACCATGGGTTTATTAGCAGTGGGGCTTGTTAGATGTCGTTCGCCTTCATCATCCGAGGAAATATATGCTTTCCGCGTTTTCTTCTCTCTAGAGAGGTCACTACCCGAATCACATGTTGGCAGTGGTACAGGCGCTGCTACTGGCGCAAACCATTTGCAACAACTAAACTTGGGTTTCTTAATTCTGATACCTTCCACGTCTTCATCATCGGTGGAGTGATACACCTTTCGCGTTTTCTTCTCCCTAGATACGTCACTCCCCGAATCACATGGCTCCACTGACCGCTTTGGAGTCTTGCAAGTTGCATCGCATACCGGCAGAGGTATTAAAACTGGCGGTGCCTTAGCATCTATATTGCCTAATACCATGGGCTTATTAGCAGAGGGGCTTGTTAGATGTCGTTCGCCTTCATCATCCGAGGAAATATATGCTTTCCGCGTTTTCTTCTCTCTAGAGAGGTCACTACCCGAATCACATGTTGGCAGTGGTACAGGCGCTGCTACTGGCGCAAACCATTTGCAACAACTAAACTTGGGTTTCTTAATTCTGATACCTTCCACGTCTTCATCATCGGTGGAGTGATACACCTTTCGCGTTTTTTTCTCCCTAGATACGTCACTCCCCGAATCACATGGCTCCACAGACTTTTTTGGAATACGGCAAGTTGGTACACATATCGGTAGAGGTATTACTGGTGGTGCCTTTGCATCTATATTTCCAAGCACCAAGGGTTTATTAGCTGTGGGGCTTGCCAGGTGTCTTTCGCCTTCATCATCCGAGGAAATATATGCTTTCCGCGTTTTCTTCTCTCTAGAGAGGTCACTGCCCGAATCACATGTTGGCAGTGGTACAGGCGCTGCTACTGGCGCAAACCATTTGCAGCATTGTCCTTTGGGTTTCTTGACCCTGGGTTCCATAGTACCTTTGACTACTTCAGCAGGGAATGGAGAAGGTGGAGGCAATTTTGGGGCTCTCATCTCCGACTCAGGTGCTTGCACCGACCTTTTTCGGGTCTTGCATGTTGGTACACATATCGGTAGAGGTATGCAAAGTGGCGGCGGCTTTGCGTCTCTATCCCCCAGCACCATGGGTTTATTAGCAGTGGGGCTTGTTAGATGTCGTTCGCCTTCATCATCCGAGGAAATATATGCTTTCCGCGTTTTCTTCTCTCTAGAGAGGTCACTACCCGAATCACATGTTGGCAGTGGTACAGGCGCTGCTACTGGCGCAAACCATTTGCAACAACTAAACTTGGGTTTCTTAATTCTGATACCTTCCACGTCTTCATCATCGGTGGAGTGATACACCTTTCGCGTTTTCTTCTCCCTAGATACGTCACTCCCCGAATCACATGGCTCCACTGACCGCTTTGGAGTCTTGCAAGTTGCATCGCATACCGGCAGAGGTATTAAAACTGGCGGTGCCTTAGCATCTATATTGCCTAATACCATGGGCTTATTAGCAGAGGGGCTTGTTAGATGTCGTTCGCCTTCATCATCCGAGGAAATATATGCTTTCCGCGTTTTCTTCTCTCTAGAGAGGTCACTACCCGAATCACATGTTGGCAGTGGTACAGGCGCTGCTACTGGCGCAAACCATTTGCAACAACTAAACTTGGGTTTCTTAATTCTGATACCTTCCACGTCTTCATCATCGGTGGAGTGATACACCTTTCGCGTTTTTTCTCCCTAGATACGTCACTCCCCGAATCACATGGCTCCACAGACTTTTTGGAATACGGCAAGTTGGTACACATATCGGTAGAGGTATTACTGGTGGTGCCTTTGCATCTATATTTCCAAGCACCAAGGGTTTATTAGCTGTGGGGCTTGCCAGGTGTCTTTCGCCTTCATCATCCGAGGAAATATATGCTTTCCGCGTTTTCTTCTCTCTAGAGAGGTCACTGCCCGAATCACATGTTGGCAGTGGTACAGGCGCTGCTACTGGCGCAAACCATTTGCAGCATTGTCCTTTGGGTTTCTTGACCCTGGGTTCCATAGTACCTTTGACTACTTCAGCAGGGAATGGAGAAGGTGGAGGCAATTTTGGGGCTCTCATCTCCGACTCAGGTGCTTGCACCGACCTTTTTCGGGTCTTGCATGTTGGTACACATATCGGTAGAGGTATGCAAAGTGGCGGCGGCTTTGCGTCTCTATCCCCCAGCACCATGGGTTTATTAGCAGTGGGGCTTGCCAGGTGTCTTTCGCCTTCATCATCCGAGGAAATATATGCTTTCCGCGTTTTCTTCTCTCTAGAGAGGTCACTACCTGAATCACATGTTGGCAGTGGTACAGGCGCTGCTACTGGCGCAAACCATTTGCAACATTCTCCCCTGGATTTCTTTGCCCTACTGCTTGTCGCAACATCGTAGTCTTCATCATCGGTTGAATGATACAATTTTCGCATTTTCTTCGTTCTAGATACGTCGCTCCCCGAATCGCATGGCTCAACAGGTTTTTTTGCGGCCTTGGGCTGTGGCGCACATACTGGCAGAGGTAAAGGTGCTGCCACTGGCCCAGACTTTGCCTCTTTATTGCCGAGTACCATAGGCTTATTAGCTGTGGGGCTTGTCACCTGTCCTGCGCCTTCATCATCCGTGGAATAATGTATTTTTCGCGTTTTCTTCTCTCTCGATAGGTCACTTCCCGAATCACATGTTGCCACTGGTACAGGCGCTAAAAGAGGCGCAAACTTTGGCCACTTGCAGCATTCTCCCTTGGGTTTCTTAGCACTGGGTTCTTTAGGAGTTTTGACGACTTCAGCAGCGATAGGTGGAGGTAATTTTGGCAGTTTCTTCTCCGAAGCACGTGCTTGCACTGACTTTCTTCGTGTCTTGCATGTTGGTACACATATCGGTAGAGGTATGGGTGCTACTACCGGTGTAACCTTCCGCTCTTGAGGACCCTTTTCCTCTTTACTGCCTAATACCATCGGCTTATTAGCCATGGGGCTTGTCATTTGTCTTTCACCTTCATCATCGGTAGAATGATATCCTCTCCGCTTTCTAGATATTGGTCCAGATACCTCGCTACCCGAATCGCATGGTTCCCTAGGCTTCTTTGCGGCTTTCGGTTCTGGCGCACATATTGGCAGAGGCAATGGCGCTGCCACTGGCACAAACTTTCCCTCTTTATTGCCGAGTACCATAGGCTTATTAGCTGTGGGGCTTGTCACCTGTCCTTCGCCTTCATCATCCGAGGAAAAATACGCTTTTCGCGCTTTCTTCTCTCTAGATAGGTCACTGCCCGAATCACATGTTGGCAGTGGTACAGGCGCTGCTACTGGCGCAAACCATTTGCAACATTCTCCCCTGGATTTCTTTGCTCTACTGCTTGTCGCAACATCGTAGTCTTCATCATCGGTTGAATGATACAATTTTCGCATTTTCTTCGTTCTAGATACGTCGCTCCCCGAATCGCATGGTTCAACAGGTTTTTTTGCGGCCTTGGGCTGTGGCGTACATACTGGCAGAGGTAAAGGTGCTGCCACTGGCACAGACTTTGTCTCTTTATTGCCTATCACCAAGGGTTTGTTAACTGTGGGGCTTGTCATTTGTCCCTCGCGTTCATCATCCGAGGAAATATACGCTTTTCGAGCTTTCTTCTCTCTAGAGAGGTCACTTCCTGAATCACATGTTGCCAGTGGTACAGGCGCTGCTACTGGCGAAAACCATTTGCAGCATTCTCTCTTGGATGTCTTAGTCCTGGGGGCTTTTGCACCTATCTCGTCTTCATCATCGGTGGAGTGATATATTTTCCGCGTTTTCTTCTTCCCAGATATGTCACTACCTGACTCACATGGTTCTGCTGGCTTTTTTTCTGTCTTGGCTTTTGGGACACAAATTGGCAGAGGTATAGGTGCTACCACTGGCGGTTTTCTGGACTTCGTTTCCTTAGTACCCAGCACCATGGGCTTATTAGAAGTGCGGGTTGTTACATGTCGGTCACCTTCATCATCGCTGATATGATACTTTCTCTTTCTAGATACGTGTCCAGATAACTCGCTCACAGAATCACAAGTTTCTTGCTTCGATTTTCGCGGGAATCCTATGGGCACTGGTGCAGCTATTGGCACCGGTGCAATCTTTGAGCCTCTCCTGCCTTGTGCCTTAGATTTTTTCGTACGTTTATCACCTTCTTCATCGGAATGATCCTCCTTTTGCAATGCTTTCTCTTTTTTTAACCGTCCAGATAAGTCACTGCCAGAATCACAACTTTCTTGCTTCGACTTTCGCGGCATACCAAGTGGCAGTGGCAGGCTTCTTCGCGCAGGCTGAACCTTTGGCTCCTCAGCTTCTGGCTCTTTTGCCGGTACTGGCATCGTTTTTGGCTCCGCAACTGCTATTGGCTCGTGCTCTGGCTCTGGCTCTGGCTCTGGTATTGCTACTGGAACTATTATAGGCGCTCTCGTTGGCTCAGGCACTGGCATTGGCTCTGGCGTTGCCATTGTCATTGGTACATCACAAACACACTCACACTCCACCAGAGTTTCAGTTGCTTTAGCCTCGGCTTCTGACACTGCAGCTTCATCCTCAATAATGAAGTATAATGGATCGTACTGGCATAGACGTTCCTGAAACAGTTCCGGGCCCGGAAAGCTGGGTTGGGTGCCGCGATGGCCAACAGCATGTGCGGCACAAATATTGGCAGCACTAATGTGACTCTCTCGCATCAAATTGGGATAGATTGATATGTGATAAGCCAAGCTGCCCAGAAAAGCATCGGACGCACCCGAAGTATCCGTCAAACAGTGGACGCGTGGTGCGGGGACATAGGTGCACAAATCCGGTTCACTCCTCGACATGTAAACGGCACCCCTGTCGCCCATGGTAATGATCACACTATTGGCACCCATCTCAATCAGATCAGTAGCCGCTGCTTTGGCATCCTGCAATGTGTCGATCTGCTCACGATTGGTTAGCTGCGCCGCCTCTAATCTATTACAGCATAGAATCGTTGGTGCTCTGATCAGTTCCAAATTCATGTCTGGGTGGGCTGGCGAGACATTTAATATAGACACTCCCTTGAATTGATGTAACGCGAAGAGGACAATCCTCTCGTCTGTTTCCAGTTGGCAAAGTAGAACTTTAGCATGCCTGAACAATTTTCTGGCGTTCAAAACATCGGTGCACTTTAGCATCATATTCGCGCCAGATAGTACAATGTTCATATTTCGAGCATTTTCAGCCACATTGATCTCAGTTAGGCCAGTGCACTGGCCATCAACTATTTGAACATGATCTACATTGATATCCAATTCTTTCAAGTATTCTAAGTATTGTGCGCCTAACTTATCGTTGCCCAGTTTTGAGATTAGAGCGCATCTGGCACCTAATTTTGCAGCAGCCACACACTGATTAGCCCCCTTGCCCCCATAACAACACTCACGATGCACGGCAAAAACAGTTTCTCCCGATCTGGGCAGTTCATTGACATAGCTGCATGAATTTGGAATAACTGTTATAGTTTGAATGACAATTTGTATTGAGGCGAGCTTACCTAATATAATCAATATTTGATGAACCAAAGACCAAGACATCTAGCTCCATTTCATCTTTTTTGTGCATACATGGGGACAGGGTGTTAAAAAAAACGTACTGATTACAAATTTAAAAATGAATGACTTAAAACTCATTTGTTGAAGTTCATACATATTACATATAAATCAGCAAATCAGATAAGCGAAATTCCGATTACTAGGGAGCAATTTGCGTACATCTCTTCTTAACCAACATAATATATACTATAAATAAATTCAACTTCATGTATTTGATTTGCAGCCAACTAGAGGTTGACTGAAAGTTTGATTACAATATTGGAAATGTAGTAAATGACTAATCTGGCCGATTAGGAGATATTGTTAACATACTCCATAACAATCTTGTATACGCATACATCGATACAATTTACAGTTTTAGACTAAAATAAAAAGTATCATGCTTGTCACTGACAAAAAGTGTTCAATAAAAAGCACCCGCCACCTTCGATGGAACCTTAAAAAGAAACTTCGCCTCTACCATCACTTCCTTGAGTCCTCCCGATGGGACAAATCCCACTAGTTTAGGCACTACGGATTTTTTAGCAGCCCAGCTCTTCAGCAACTTATTCCATTCTCAATGGGTTCACAGTATGAAAAAAAGAGGAACATGTATGTTTTCTCTGAAGAAGGTTTTATTAGAGAAGTTTTAAGAGAAAATAAAGACTGGTAATTTTGAGCGTTCAAATTTTGAAATTGAATTACTACTAATTTTACTGGTGGTTGAAGTGTTTAGAATGTGAGCTCTCGATTGATGTTTTTAACATTTGATTAACATTTGAGATTTGGGCTGCTGCTTTCTTGCCTGACGCTGGCGTTGTCTTTGCCGCTGTCACCGCAGCAGGCACTGCCACTCCTGCGGACACTATCATTGCCGCTGGCGATCCCGTTGCCCTTGGGTCTGCCAATGCTGCTGGTATTTCCTCTGCCGTGGTGATTGGCTCCGGCGATGTCGTTGTTGCTGGCTCAGCTATTGGAGCTACAACTGGCGCAGGTTCAGCTGCTGCCACAGGGGCCGTTACCGTTTTTTCGGCTGGCGCAGCAGCATTTAAGTCTCTACCAGTATCGTCTTCAATAATATAGTACAATGGATCGAACTGGCATAGACGCTCCTGAAACAGTTCCGGGCCCGGGAAGCTAGGCTGAGTGCCGCGATGGCCAACAGCATAGGCGGCACAGATATTGGCAGCAATTATGTGACTCTCTCGTATCAAATTAGGATATATCGATATGTGATAGGCTAAACTGCCTAGAAAGGCGTCGGACGCACCCGAAGTATCCGCCAAGTAGCGGACTGGCGCTGCCGGACACTGGGTGCACAAATCCGGCTCACTGCTAGACAAGTAAATGGCCCCCATATCGCCCATGGTAATGATCACGCTTTTAGCACCCATCTCAATCAGATCAGTAGCCGCTGCTTTGGCATCCTGCAATGAGTCGATCTGCTCACGATTGGTTAGCTGCGCCGCCTCTAATCTATTACAGCATAGAATCGTTGGTGCTTTGATCAGTTCCAAATTCATGTCTGGGTGTGCGGGCGAGGCGTTCAATATGGACACGCCCTTGAAATGATTTAGTGCATAGAGGACAGCCTTCTCGTCTGTTTCTAGCTGGCAAAGAAGAACTTTTGAGTGTCTGAATAATTTTTTCGCGTTGCTGGCATCGGTGGCTTTTAGCATTAGATTTGCGCCGGAAAGTACGATGTTCATATTTTGGGCATTTTCAGCCACATTGATTTCAGTGAGGCCCGTCGACTGGCCATCCATCATTTCAACGTGATCCACATTGATCTCTAATTCCTTCAGATATTCTAAGTATTCTGCGCCTAATTTATCGTTGCCCAATTTGGAGATTAGAGCGCATCTGGCACCCAATTTGGCAGCCGCCACACACTGATTAGCCCCCTTGCCCCCATAGCAACGTTCACGGTGCATGGCAAACACGGTTTCTCCCGATCTGGGCAGGTCATTGACATAGCTGCATAAATTTGGAATAACTGTTATACATAGCTTGAATGACAATTTGTATTGGGGCGAACTTACGTAATATAATCAATATTTGATGAACCAAAAACCAAGACATCTAGCTCCATTTTGTTCTTTTTGTGCTTGCAGATGGGCGGGCTATTTGAGAATTTTATTGACTTCAATTTCAAAATGACTGACTTAAAAGTCGCTTTCAAAGATTTATACAAATTGCTCATATTATATATCAGCAAAGCAAATAAGAACAACAATTTCGAGATCTGAGGAGCAAGGTTGAGAATATCTGGTTTTAAATAACACACAACACACAATGATTAAATTAAACTTCAAACATTTGACTTGCATATACAGCCAACTATAGGCTGAATAAAAGGTTGATCATAGTATTTAAAAAATTGTTCACTGACTCATCTGGCAGCTATCGAAAAAAAAATATATATATGATCAAGATTTCATATTATGGTGTCAGCATTTAAAAAAGAGGTGGGTATAGTCTTTAGAGGTTTTATATTATACATATTTAAGCAGAGAATCAACTTATATATATTCTTAGATGCGTAATTTTGATAAAGTAAAATTGTGAAATTTAATTAGGGCTAATTTAACTTAGCTGTTTAATGGACTGTTTAGAATGCGAGTTATTCTCGATTGAAATCTTGAACACATGATTAACATTTGACATTCGGGCTGACGATTTGTTGTGGAACTGTGCACCACATGCTCTGCTCTGGTCTGGTCTGGCCTGGCGTGGCCTGTCCCGCTACACTTAAGGCAGGCCCTGGGAAACGCCTGCAGTGTCTGCAGATTGCATCCATGTGCCACATCCTGCAGTAACAACAATGACGCTGACGCTGACGCTGACGCAGACGCCGCGTGGGTATTGCCATCAAAAGAGCAATGCATTTGTTGACGCTCTTCAAGTAGGTAAAATCTATAAACGGGGCACATGTGCGCATCGGGCGTTGGACTTGACCTGCTAGCGGGTCGACTGCGACGCTTCATGTGGGTCTCTAATTGAGACGAGGCGAGGGCCGGCGAGATTTTTAATTTTAGAGGCACCTATATAAACGTCTGTTTACAATGCGCTTAGAGGACAGTCGCGTTTGCCAGGGCGCAACGTTAACGTTACCATCTCTCTCTCTCTCGACTTAAGTTTGGTTCCTGAATCGAAACTGCATTCGTTTGTGAGCAACGCGGATTTTGTTTTGTGTGGCACATTTCTTGCCCGGAATGTGAGCAAAAGCCAAAAAAGAAAAAGAAAATAAGATACAAATTAAACAAAAAATGTAAAGAAAAAATCGTTTAAGCGCAAAGCCAAAGCCATATACAGAGACACGGTGGGTGCTGGGGAGTGTTCGGGTCCGGCCATGTGGCGCAAAATATGCGCATAAAAAACAAAGTTCAAACAAAAAGGGCGCAATTTTATTGCGGGCGCCGCGATGCTCTATACACACATACACACACACACACACTCACAAAACAACAAGCAGCTGGAAAAAAGTTTATGAATTTTTTGTGCAGGCGCGTGAAAAATGTAACACAACAAAAAAAAATTTAAAACGTAAAGTAAAAACAAAAGCAGATACTACGCGAATGCGAGTTGTATTCAAGTTGTATTCCGACAGCCATGCTCTCCCTCCCTCTCCCATACCACCCAGTCACATATAAACACACTTCAGTGCGCTTAAAAATTGCTTTATTGCAGTTGGACTATAAAAACGCACGGCAAAAGTATTAAGCACAATCCCCTTCCACACAAAAAAACCTACAAAATAATAATAAAATGAAAATAAAAGTAAAAACCAGCAAAGCCAACGAGAAACAGGAAAATTTGCAAGCCACAGCCGGAGCGCAAGAAGCACAAGGATGCCAAGGATTTAGTTCTAAAACAGTAAAAGAAATAAAATCGAAAACAAAAAGGAAAACGCAGCAAAATACCAACTGGATAGTTGGATATGAATTGCCCCGTAAATGGCAGTTAGAGTATTGTGTAAAATGTTTTGTTGCAATTACATCCAGGATTGTCATTATTTAAGTGAAAAACAGACGGACTAAAGTGGAAGCTAAATCACACAGTAAGTAACATTAAAGCCAAGAGTGTATGGCCCACAAATGGGTCTTAAATTGTTCATTGCGCCTTTGAGAGTTCCATGCTTCCTTGCATTCAATAGTATTTATATAAGCATATGGAATGTAAAGAAGTATGGAGCGAAATCTGGCGAAGCATCATACCAAACTGTGAAAAAAAAAAACACATTATGAAATTGTGTTTAAAAGATAAATAAAAATTGAGTAAAAAAATTTCTTTAAAAAAATAAATAAAATAAAAAAATAATTATATATATATACATATATATATATAAATATGTATATCTAATCAATGTAATTATTTGAGGCTAAAAAATATTTAAAATTCTTTTTTTCTTTATATTTTACATATTTATATAAAATTTTTCCATGTTATATACATATTCATAAATAGAATTCTATTTTATCTGTTTGTCTAACTGGTATGTAGATTTCGTATATTTAAAAACATTTCGGTACTTCAACATTTGGAATATCCTTTAGCCAAGGCCAACAGCGAAAAAGTCAAATACCAAAAATATCTACCAAATGGTAGCACTTATATTTGCCCATGGAATGACTCATGTTAAAAATAGCAAACGAGCAGCAAATATTTTGAAATATGTGTAAAAATATTTGTGTATATCTATATAAATACATGCATATTTATGTGTGGGTGTTGCTGTAGCTGTATTTTGCCGCGTATCGCGTTTCGTTGTATCTATTGAAAATGTTGTTAAAAATAAATTCAAGTGGACGAACCATTTGTGGAGCATGGCAACAAAAATGTTTGCTGTTTAGTTAAGTTTGCTGCACATATTATATAAATAGTGAGTAGGTGGATGAGTTTTATCCAGGGCTTTTATGGCTTTGCGGGCGCGAGCCAGTTCGAATTGCAGTTAAGCACAGGACAACTAAGCCCCAAACATGTGCAGCAAAGTGGATTTAGCCAGCTGAAATTATCGCTGGGTGCCGCTTGCTAAGGGCTATGTGGCGCATGTGACGCCTTCCACAGGAGTCGGTGGCTATAA